GTTTGAGATATCTCAGTACCATTAAACACTCAGATGAGTGTTTCTGATTGAGCGTCAATATATTTTTATGTTTTTCAGCCATGGCGGGAAACATCATCCCAGCTATCGCCACAACCAACGCAGTCATTGCTGGACTCATCGTACTGGAGGGGCTCAAGATCCTGTCGGGGGAAATAGAATCCTGTCGCACGGTTAGTTCAGTGACCGTAACTGCTTAAAGTCAAGTAGCTGCCAGGAACTGGTTTTTAGTCAAAGGACTGTATTATGTGATATATAATATATATATTTTTTTTGTCATTCACCTCAAAACATCGCCTTCATTTGTCTCATCTCCAGATCTTCCTGAACAAATGTCCGAACCTCAGAAAGAAACTGCTGGTCCCGTGTATCCTGGATCCACCAAGCGCCAACTGTTACGTCTGCGCCAGCAAACCTGAAGTCACAGTCAAACTCAACGTCCACAAAACCATGGTCCTCTCTCTGCAGGACAGGGTAATGTGAGAATTAATACACAATTATGTATTGTATTTAACACACTCTTACTCGTCGGATTGTAATTAATTTCTGCTGTAAAAAGCAATTCTATAAACCAAGGACCTTTAGAAAAACCTGTATCTCATGCACCATATGAACTTAAACACAGTAGAACGTCGGTGCGAGGACGTTGTCTTGTTGTGCATCTAATGTTTTTGTGTATGTGCTCAGATCCTGAAGGAAAGGTTCGGCATGGTGGCTCCAGACGTTCAGATAGAAGATGGAAAAGGGACCATCCTCATCTCCTCAGAGGAAGGAGAGACAGACGGTAAGAAGAAGTGGAAAAAAGACAATTAAAGTCTTAAATATAATTTAAAGAATGTTTAAGATGTTTACTTTTACCCTTTTTTTTCCTTTTATTTATCACATGTTTTTGCTGATGCATCGAGTATTTGAGCTGCAAGGGTTGTAATGATACAATTCTGAATTAGCAGTTTTCAATTAGAGATGCACGTCACAGAGAACGATGTGATTCGACCGAAATTGATATAAATCTTGAAACGTATTGTATTTTTAAAAAATGTGGTGAACATAAGCGGGTGTTCAGAAATGGAAATAAATGAACAGCTTCTCCTCACATGTATAAAACTGCTTCACCTGTTCACAGACGTGTGTGTAATTCTCATCCTGTCCTAACAGCCAACAACAGCAAGTTTCTTGCTGACTTTGGGATCCGTAACGGCAGCCGCCTGCAAGTTGATGACTTCCTGCAAGACTACACACTCCTCGTTAACGTCCTGCACACGTATGTGGATCTGTACATATGAATGTGTCCATGTATTATCTGATGCCGCTGCAGTGAGTGAATCTAAGAATGTTGTTTTGCTGTTGTCTGTCTCCGTTTGCAGCGAGGAACTAGAGCGGGATGTGGAATTTGAGGTCGTAGGTGAAGCCCCAGACAAAGCCCCGCCCCCTCAGAGTAGCCAGAAGGAGGATAACAACATCACCAATGGCAACAAGGACTCCGCCCAGCCGTCCACTTCCTCGAAAGGTGAGCGGGACTACAATCAGTTGTAGTGAGAGCCGATTCCTCAGTATCGGACTGAACGGACTCGTATCACAGGTTCAACGTGTTTTGCAGCCGTAATTGTTCCACACTCACCACAACCTCTCCCACGATGCAGCAGTTAAACTCTGCAGTTCAGCTGTACACTACTTCTAAAGCAGGAGTGTGATCAGAGCGACGTTAACTCTACATGTGAGGAGCAAATGTACAATAGTGAACATGTAGTCGCATTCAACTGAAATATTAACGTGTTGTTATCTGCATTTGTGCAATAAGACACACGTTAGCACATTTCTGTAGATGACTTTCAAAATGAACAACTTATTTCTTCTGTTCATGTGGGAACTGCTGCTTCCATTCAACAATGAGTTTACTTTTACTTTGATAATCACAGTAGTGTTTTAGTGTCTGACCCTGTTTCCTCTTGTGTTTCTTTATAACACAGCTGTTTTCAGTCCGCTGCCTCTTAATGCAAATGCGGTTTAAAATCAAATGTTATAAGTTGCTTTGAAATTCTCAGTCTGCCTTGATGGGTGCCAGGTAGTAAAATGGAAAATAATACGGCGGCCGTCAGTTAGAACCAGAGATTATCTTGCGATCAGTCAGAACTATTGTCATATTCCAAGTGCTCAGAAACCATTACTAGACTGGAAGGTCACTCTGAGCACTTATCTGGCTTATCTCATGATGTTAAAGAAAGTCAAACAAGTCCTGGATCTGCTCCAAAGTTTAATTTGTTCTTTCTTGGGTGATGCCGCCACAAAATCATGGAAGTCTTTTGAGTAATTCTGCTGAAAAACTGAACAATTACAACAAAACCTTCCTGGTGGAGGTAAATATTACTCTAGCCACACCCATCTTTGAACTCTGCCTCTACTTTCATCTCAACTTAACACCTGTAAAGCTCCTGATTGCAACACAAACTCAGAAACACTTCTGTGGTAGTTGAATGATAAAAACCACCCTGACCCAGTAAAACGTCACCTGCACGCCTACATATGTTCTTCTTTCATTTGACTTCCCACTGGTTGGTGCAGTTAAACCAGAAACTGTAGATCTGTAGTTGGATATTGGCCTCATTTAATCTTTCATTGTTCCTTCAACTACACAAACATATTTACGTCACATTGTCCATTTCTTATTTTGAATCTTTCGACCTCTGTATTTTTTTTTCTAAAGCTCCAGCAGAGGATGACGACGTCATGATCGTGGACTCCGATGAGGAAGAAGCGGTGTCGTCCAGTTCTGCAACGACAGCGAGCAGCGGCACCAAGAGGAAGCACCCGGACGCAGAAACCGGCGAGATGTCCACCAAGCGCCTGCGGACTGAGCAGACGAGCGCAGCCGCCGCCTCCACCACCGACAATGACGACGATGACGACATCATCGCTCTGGACTAACCCCTCCCCTGTTGTCTTCTGAAGGACGGAGAACACTTTGAACGTCTGTCGTTTTTGACTCCAGACAGACAGTAGGCTTAAATAAAACCACCTGTTTTATGAAGAACAATCTACGGCCCTGCTTTATCTTTTGTCACTCCCCCTCCCCCCCCCAGCTCTGTGTTCACAATTTCATATTCCCTCTGCTCTCCACACGAGGCTGTAAATAGATTCTACACTTTGAAACGTTTTGAAAATTTCATGCAACTTCTTGTGTTATTTTTATTCATTCCTTGTCCCTATAAACTGCTTCTCTTGATGGTAAAAACAAAAACAAGTGCATTTTTTGTATTTTTTTTATAAACGTACTGTATTTGTCATGCTACACAAGTCAGGGTGTTTTTGTGCTTTGTGTGTCAGGTGCTGACATTTAAAACCAAAACGTGATACTGATCTGTTTGTTGTGAGGGGACAGTAAAAGACCGACTGACCCTGGAGTCTGCAGATTGTCCGGCTTGAGCTCTGTAGGTTGCTGTTACTGGTCGGTAAATCTCAGAGGAGCAGACGGAGAGATGGGTTAGTTTGCTCTCTCGTTTCCAGAACCAGTTTGTGGCCACGGAGCAGCACAGTGGAGTCTCTTCAACGTCTCCCACTCAGCACAAGCAGCTTAGATCCAGGCTCGTAGTAGATTAAAGTTACCGTGGCTTTTTATTTGTGTTATTCTGTTGGAGAAAAGAGGTCGCAGTTTGTTTTATGACAAAGACTGAACCAGAGATGGAGTAGATTCAGTGATTGTTTCATTGTGCAGCGGTTAAACTGGACTGTGTGATGGCGGAGGAGTCCCGCTCGGAGGTGACGCACCGACAGTAACAGACGAGCACCTGCTGTCGTCTTCTCCAGTCTAACCCCTGTGTCTGTGTCCACAATTTCATATATCATTGTGATCTGTTCTTGAAATGGCCACAACAGCCGATTTGGACCAATTTGGTGATGACAATAAATTAAACAATGCAAAGACATCTTGTTTTGTCTTGTTTGTGTTTGTGTAATCAAATCAAATGATTTTTAAACTTATGTTTTATATTCATCTCATTTTAAAACTAGAATGACACTCAGTGGAACATAAACTATTCTAAGACCCAACAGTTACAGTTAAACTATATCAGGCCGCAGCAAACTGCACACATCTACAGTATATATGTCAGAAACAAGTTTTCATCAAGAAACATGAAGCTGAAATGAGTAAAAATGTCTTCTCACAACAATAAAGTCTCTGGATTCCTCCCTTTGTCCAGTTTAAAGCTAAAATGTCATGAGTTCTTCCTGGACCTCTTGTTACAGACTTACACCAAGTTTCATGGAAATAAGTTATTTCATTTTTGTTCAATCCTGTTGACAAACTGCTGAAAACATTTAGTTCTTCAGTGGAAGTAAATTGCACAGAAAATATGTCAAAGTTCAGGAAACGATGTGAAGTAAACACACACAGACGTGTTTGTGTGTCGGAGTCGTCATCAGCAGACGAGTCTGTTTTTCTGGTAAAAGATAAATATTTTGTGTGTTCAGGGATTAAAGTCTGACAGACGTGTGGTTTGGCTCCGTACACGGTGGGACAGTGTTCAGGGGATTGAACGTGATGCAACACTATCACACACAAACACACACACTATTCTACCACAAACAAGCTTTAAAAACTACTCAAAAGATTCTTCACTGTAGGATCAGTCAAAGTACACAACATGGATGAGATCATCAGATATTAACTGTTATAATCGGTTTAATCTATAACCTACAATCTATAATCTATGATCTATGATCTATAACCTACAATCTATTATTTATAATCTATAATATATAATCTATAACCTCCCACTGATGAATCTGCTGCCTCCCTCTCATCACCCTGGCTGACGCCCCTCAGAGCAGCTCTCTGATTGGTCAGGAGGTCAGACCCCCCCCCCCTGTCCCCTCCCCCCTGCACAGTAAACACTTTTCATCAGGTCTGAATTAGAACCGTGTCTCTCTGTCTCTGACTGTCTCTGTCCCTGTCTGTCTCACTGTCTCTCTCTATCTGTCCCTGTCTGTCTCACTGTCTCTCTCTCTCTGGTCCCTGTCTGTCTCACTGTCTCTCTCTATCTGGTCCCTGTCTGTCTCGCGGTCATGTTTTGAACCAGGGAGAACCAGGCCGTTCACTCCGCCTCCTCCTCCGGGACGACGGAAGGGAGGGCAGAGACGCGGGGGAGCAGGCGCAGTGGGACGGCGGCAGTGTTGCGGAGGCGCTCGGTGGTTGCGGAGCCAAACTTTGGGGGAGAGTTCTCAAAAACAAGCTAGCCCAGTTAGCTGTTAGCCGTTAGCTTCGGGCTAAGGGCTGAAACAAGGGTCGTGAACGCGCTTGCTCGTCGCCGCCGCCGCCGCCGCAGTGAGCTCGGTTAACGTCTGTCGGGAATCGACATGGTGACACTGACAACCGTGGTGCGGCCGCTGGCTGCTCAGCTCCACCGGCAGCTCCACCGGCAGCTCCTCAGACACACCGGGGGTCGGCACCGGATAACGCCCGTCAGGGGCTGCAACCTCACGGCGTGCTCCAGCAAATATGTCCTGTCTCAGAGTAAGTGAACGAGATGATACGTGCACGTGATGACATGAGTGCACGTCTGCCAACACACGGTCTCTGTGTGTGTCTGTCTCTGTGTGTGTGTTAACGTGTGTTTGCATGGGTTGCGGGTCTGATTCTGTGTAATCGGTTCATTGTGGGTCACGAAGCTGCAGATCACTTATTGTTGTCAACCAGAACGAAACGTGCACGGAGAGAAGTGGAAGCCTGGGACTGGAGCAGCCTCGTCACTGGATCCGGATCACAACACGTTGACTCAGCCTCCAGGTTTTTTTCCAAGCGAGCATCGATCCCTGGCCCATCATCACAACAAGCCCTTGGACCTACTTTGTAGAACACGAAGAACTCCACACGAGCATAGTTTGTTTTAAAAAAATCCTCTAAGATCATTTATAGTGACATCACAAAGTTTAAAAGAAGAGTTCATTTCTCTCATCATCCCCTCACCACTCAGCTGATGGAGGGCCGGAGTGTCTGAGTCCACAAAACCCAAGTCTCCCAAAATCCTCCACACTGCTCCTGTGGTGTCATCCAAGCCCTGACTCATGTTTTTATCCTAAATGTCCGTTAGTGTCCTCCTAGTTGCAGAAACTAGCCGACTCTCGTGAGACGAGAACTCACGATAGCTGCAGTCACCAGGGTAATGAGTCTGAAAGGTTCCTCATTCATTTGTAAATGGTTTGTATTTATACAGCGTTTGTATTTATACAGCGCTTATACAGTAGCTCTGGCCCAAGGACACTACTTCACAGGGAAGACTGTGATTCAACCGCCAACTTAGGGGACAACCCAATATATGCGGACCTTACTTTCCAGAGTTCATGCCTGTACACAGCCAGAGATTAAGATATATGAAATATTTAAAATCTGAACAGAGCTGGTATAAGTTGCGCCCGTGGAAAGTGACACACAAGCCCACCGGACAAGCTGGAACAATTACCTCACCGCACCCATTAACATGAGCCGTGTCTCGTTCACCGTGTCCTGGCAACCACCGAGTCAACATGAAGAAAAACAACGTTGCAAGTGGAAAAACAGTCCAGTGCTGCAGACGTTAGAAATTCATCCACGTTTCCTGTTGGAGTGAGCGCTGACTGGTCGAAGCTTTGTGAAAGAGCATCTGTGGTAGATCCACTAGATGTTAGGTTCTGTGTTCCCCGGCTGATATGTCCTGATTCTTACACTTTTCTTTGTAAAATGACTTTTCGGCCTCCTCTCTTCTTCAGGTATAAAACAGCCGACTCACAGGGAACTGATTGAATTTGTCCTAATTTGAGTTTAGAACGTGGTTCCCTCGGTTGAGCCTCTCAACCTCAGAAAGGAAACCGAAATCCTGTGGTTGACCCAAATTATGAAATACAAACTGTGACACCTACAGGGACATGGTTTTTTCATGTTTATCCCTGGTTTTATCTGCACGGGCTTTAAGATAAACTCTTATCTGGGGTCGTGTAAAGACCTCACAGTGAACCACTCTTCAGTAGAAAATATTCATTCATTCATTTATAATCTAAACCACTTATCTTTTTAGGATGTGGTGTTAGAAATGAGAAAATATTGAAATATAGAAAAAATGTGCATCACCATCATTCTACAAATCAGACATTTGTGTTGATTGACTTAGTTGTAGTATACAGTTGTAATTTATTAGAGTTTTGAATGTCACTGATTTCCCTTCATATAATATGACACTAGCCAAAATACTGCAAACAGAATAAGGTCATGGTGCCACCTATGCAAAAATATGAAGATGGTCTGTTATGAAATCAATGATCGCAATGTTGTTTTTTTATTTTAAATATGTAGAAAGAGAAAATGATTAGTCATCTTTTATCTTCTCCACTCTTATTGCATTAAAGCCTGTACCATTGTTACATGTGCTGTGTAACGCTGAGTCAGCACTTTCGCCCTCTTCCACAAATGCAGTGTCAGACACAAAGTGCAGAAGCTTCATGTGTGTCAGGTTTGCTCCGTCTGCTTCTTCCTATCGTCACATCAAAGTTGTGTTATTGCATCAGACTCAGGCCGGATGTTCCTCGGCTCATTCGTTTCATACACACTTGAGATTTTCTGACTCCGTGCAGCTGGTTGTCATGTGACACTTTGAGGCGCTGACATGACACAAATCAGAACGATCTCCCCGTCCACGGTTTCCTTGTGCTTTTTGCTCAAACAGCAACAACAGAGTCATGCGGCCAACTCTCCCAGGAGGAGCCGGTGAAATCGGATGAAGATGAAGGTCATCTCCCAGTCAGACCTGTTCGGCTCGGCTCACAGTGGAAACCTTAAGCTCTGTGCTGGATGAATGGAGAGGAAAACAACACAATGAGCTGCTTTCTTTTTTACCCTTTGACAACCTCACTTTTAAATATGTCTCTCAGTGGGTCTTAGGTCAGATGGAGAGAAACCGTTTCAAATTGAGCGTCTTTGATTTTAAAGGAGCAGCTGATGATTTTTGTGCTTTGGCTGGATTTCAAAGGTGAAATCAGAGCAGAAATTAGGGAGGCAGCGAACACGCGCACAGTTTCAGGTAATTAGAAGGTCCTTTGACGGACGTTGGTCCAAGCTGGCGGCTCGACTGACCAGAGGTCCTGGGTGGATCCCCCCCGCTGTGGAGTGGAGCTGGGGGCGTGCCAGGACATTCCGCGTGTCACTTTCTTTACAGCCAGCCCACTTGGCCCTTATTTTGTAATTTCCCTTCAGGAAAAAAAATGTAAGAGGACTATGAAGGAAGTACTATTGCTCACTTGCTCCTTTTCATTTAGTTCCTTCAAACAGCTCCAGGAAGGAGGGTTGTGTGCGTCTGTCCAGTGCTCTCATTGTTAATTCTTTTTATGAGGCTCCTCGAATTTATTCTTTTAAAATGGACTGTTGCAAAATGCAGGAGGCAGCGGAGTACAAGATGAAAAGTGGGTATCGGGATATTACCTTTACACGGACAGCAGGAGGTGTGAGTTAGTACATTTACAATCTTATTTTCCTTCTCGATTAACCTCTTCTTCTCCTCCTCTCTTCTTACCTCCAGTGCATCCCATGTGGCAGGGACCCCTCGCGGTACCAGGCGGCGATCGCCAGTCTCCCATTGACATCATCGTACGGAAGAGCGTCTTTGACTCCGAGCTGAAGCCTCTGGTCACCGATTACGACCCAGACACCTGCCAACAAATCTGGAATAACGGTTACTCCTTCCTGGTGGAGTATGATGACACTACAGACAAGTCCAGTGAGTAGTTTTATGTCTTCTTTGTTTATATTCTCACGCAGAAACATCTGAAAATGTAATAAAACCCAGTAAATGCTGTTCCACAGAAGTTCCTCATTATTAGTTTAGATTTGGAGCAAGTTTCTCTTTAAATGTGTGTGGGTGAAGGGAAATCCCAGCAATCTCAGGGGAATGTATGTTTTAAACATACCCCCCCCCCCCATTAAAGAGCTGTGGGAATATCCAGTTTATCAATGCTACGAGTAAAATAAACTCCTCTGCAGATCTGATGATTGTCATGTGACTTAAATGTCTCTCCTGACTTCAACATGTATTTTTCTGTGTCAGTCTGTTTTAATGACTGGGCTCCACCAAAGGGCTTTAACTGCTCAAAGTCCCACAACTTTTAAAAATAGATCTCATTCTGGTAAAATTAACAAATGTTTTAAACCTGCAGAATTTAACACTTCATTGGTGTCACACGTTCTCCGTCGTGGTATCATGAGCTTAGTCTGGAAGTGAGAGGACAAAAACCGGTTTACAACACAGAAATGTGAACAGAGACACGACAAGAGAACAGGTTTATATTACGAGTACTATGCATTTAACAATGGAGTGATTGTGACACGACTGCAGGTACTACAAGTGCAAATTGTGTTATCATGTTATGTTTTATAGACAGGAAGGAGACCTTATCTTTTGGAAGCAGTAGTGTTGCTGATAAAGTGTTTATGGGGGCAGTAGGTACCTCATTGTTTTGTAGATGACTTCAGTGTCCCACTTTAATGTTTCCTGGATGTTTCTTGTTCCGTGTTTCTGTTCCTCAACACAATCATTTCTTCACCTCGAGGAGGAAACTGTATTTCTAATATAAACGATGACGCGACAGTTTAGAGGTTTGAACTGATTCTCCTGGAGGACTGGCATCTCATTCTTTTAACAGGATTGTGAAATAAATAAACAGATAAATCTATGTGTCTTTTCATTTCCTGGTGCAGCGCTGAAAGGGGGCCCCCTGAGGGACAAATTCAGGCTGTGTCAGTTCCACTTCCACTGGGGTGAGAGCAACGCCTGGGGTTCAGAACACACCGTGGACAGGAGGCTGTTCCCCGCAGAGGTACCACATCTGTGCTCCAACGTGGATACACCAACTCAGACAAACACTATATGAAAATTAAAGTTTTTCGGGCACAAATGAGGATCACACAAAAATAATTTTGGAATATGAAGGAGTATAAATGGAAGGAAACATCTGTAAAACTGTCAGTAATGTGAAAGAGTGAATTTCTGTTGCTGTAACAGATGTTTCCTGGAAGAAGAATATCTATTTTTAAAATATTGTTGCAGCAGTGTACTACTTGAGTTACAGCAGTTTTGCATTTTTGCAGAGTTATACATTTAAGCTTCATAAAGTTTTATGCCCATCCTTATCGATGATAATCGAGATGCACCCAGTCGAGACTTAGATATATCGTTTATATCGAGACAGTTTTCCTTTCTTTGTTGCCAATGACACAAATCTATTTGGTCGATAGAAACACCAAATCTAATTCATGTTTGAAACTCTCTTCGGTACAATTCTATAACTGACAGGACACAACCTCTGTTGTTGCTTTAAAAAACCTGGCGTCTCTGGTGCTGTAGCGTGTAAGGTAAAGAGTCGTGGCTCTCACAGGTGGTGTGTGTGTATTTTAGGTACGAATGGAACCACTGAATGGAAAAAGACAAACATGAAGGGCTTTAGAAAAGCAGGTAACAGAACGAGAGAAATGCAGTTAGTCCTCTGCTACGACCTTCCACATGTTTTCTGAAGGGTTAAAGGAAGAAAGGAGAAATGGAAGAAAACAAATCAGTGCAGTGTTAAAACAGTGTTGACTCAGTTTGTCCTTCTTAAAAGGCCTGGAAATCTATAACCAGCTTCACGTGTCCCACCTCATGTTGTTCTTGAAAACACAGGCACGTATGTGAGTGTGTATGTATGTGTGTGTGTGTGTGTGAGACTGTGTCCTCTGCCAAGCCCTTTGCAGTGGTGTCGGGAATGTGTACATGTCATTGTTCTCATCACTCAGTATTTGTGGGTGTGTGTCCACAGTGCGTCAAGTTACAGTTCTGACGCACATATTTTTCCTATATTTGGCTGATGAGTTGAGTTCGTGCATGTGAGTTTTCAGACCTGTGAACCTGCAGCAAGATGTTTCAAAGCAAATTAAAAATCACATCAGTCAAACGATGAAACACTCTTATTTTGAAAAGGAAAGAAATGGAATTAGTGGATCATCTGGAGGAGAGAAGAAGTCTGCATGGTGTGAGGATGGAGACGGAGACACACACACAGACACACAGACACACACACACACTTGTTCACGGTAGGTTTCTGTTACTGTGTGTGTTCACAGCTCCACTTGGTTCACTGGAACTCTGAGAAGTACAGTCTGTTCGAGGAGGCAGTGATGGAGGACAACGGACTGGCTGTGATCGGAGTCTTTCTGAAGGTAAACACACACAGTCTGCTGTGTGTTAACTGTGTACGTCTCAACGTATGTGCTGTTTACGCAGCTTTGCTCTGTGAGTCAAATCCAGATTAATGTCTAATCCTCCTGCAGGTGGGAAAGAGACACGAGGGGCTGCAGAAGCTGGTCGACGCTCTGCCTGCGATCAGACACAAAGTGAGTTCACGCACACACACACGCACTTTTTGTGCTCATCTCTCAAATGTACTGATCAGTTCACCAATCAAACCCTTATAGAGTCAAATTAACATAAGAATAAGATCAATAAAATTTATTTATATTGCACTTTTCTTAGCAAAGTTAAAAAAGGGGAATTAAAATATCTATTTGGATAATTAAAACAACACATTTATAAATTGTTTGAATTTCTATCTGATAACTTCCTGTAAATATATTAGTTTTATTCTTCTGGATTGTTCTCGGTGCAGTTTGAAGATGAAGGTCACAGTCCGTCCTTCGTTTATATCACCGCTGCCGTTCTGCTTATCACTAATAGTCTGATAGGGTTTGTTTAAACAAGCGTGACAGTTGTTTAACAGTCATTGGGTGACACATGTTTTTTGATGGTTAGTGATGATTGTTGTGTTTCTCTTCTCAAACGTGTATTTACTCAGGGTCTGTCCCGGGCGTGTGTCCTCTGTTTGACAACCACAGCAACGTGTATGTTCTCCAGTGTATTTAGTGATGTTTACATTAGCTGAAATCATATTTGCACATGCAGCCCTAATGGGTGTCGATTTCAAATCGAAAAGTATTTTTCTACCAAAACTAAAATATCCCTGTATTTTAAAATCAGGCCTTATTGGAACCTGTCAATGAAAAGATTTGTAGATGTCAGTAGTCGTCCTGCTTTTTCTGTGAACGTGAAACAACGCAGCGTTCAGGCAGATTAACTGACAGCTGTGTGTTGTGTCTGTGGTCGTCTGCAGGACAGCGTGGTGGAGTTCAACAGGTTCAATCCCGCCTGTCTGTTACCCGCCAACACTGATGACTACTGGACGTATCATGGCTCCCTGACGACGCCTCCTCTGACCGAGTCTGTCAGCTGGATTGTTATGAAGCAGCACATTGAAGTCAGCCATGATCAGGTGTGTGTCTGTGTGTGTGTCTGTGTGTGTGTGTCTGTGTGTGTACACAAAATATTCATATGCATCAATGTCCAGGTTTGTTGTTTGGCTTTTATGTTCTATTAATATTTCAATATTCGAAGGTTCAGTCTGTAAGATTTAGGTGAAAGAGACCAAAAAATCCAGATCTGGATTCTTTCTTGAGTCATGTCCCACTTTTTGTGTAATCCTGCTGAAAGCCAGACAGACAAACAAATGCTGATGAAAACATAACCTCCCTTTCAGAGATGATTATCCTCCAGCGCTGCAGCTCATTTAGCTCATTTAGCTCATTTAGCTCATTGGTTTGATTTTAACTCTCATCAAATTGTCCTCAGAAGCAGGAGGAAGCTGTTTTCAGAACCTTCAATGAAACGAGTGTTGCTCTGTGTCTGCTGCAAGTAAAAAAAAAAAAAAGAAAAAAGAAACTGTTTGCACTTTAGATAGTTTGGGTTTAAAAATATTTGATGATCTGCTGCCCACAAGTGGCCAAAAGAAACCGGTGCATTGATAGTTTGAGCAGAGAATCACCTGCTCCACTGTGCATGTGTGAGAGACAAACTCCGGAGAAAGACCGGACCCACTCGTGTGGACATTCTCTGTGTGCATGTCTGTAAACCGCTCTGCAGTCGCACTAAGTAGAGCTCATCCCTCCACCGAGACCCAACAGTCTCCTTCTGGAACCACATTTAAATTCAGTGGATCGGGATTGTTATTTTGATCTGCACCAAATTGCACAAAGTCATTAATATCAGTTCTCTAATTAGCCTGATTTCCTCTCTCTCTCTCTCTCTCCCTCTCTCTCCCTCTCTCTCTCCCTCTCCCTCCCTCTCTCCGACCCTCAGCTGGCGGTCTTCCGGAGCCTCCTGTTCACCTCAGCTGAGGAGGAAGTACAGAAGAGTATGGTGAACAACTTCCGTGTGCAGCAGCCTCTGCGTGGTCGCACGGTCCGCTCTTCCTTCACTCCCTTCCTGCAGGAGGCGCCGTCAGCCGAAGGCGACAAGCACACCCACTGACACTGCTGGACCGAGTACACACACACACACACACACACACACACACACACACACAGAACTCTGCGAGCAAAAGAAAAATTAGATCTCGAAATCTATTTTTTTTTCTTCATTAGCTTGTTGAGCAGAAAACATACTTTTAAAGTTTCATCAGAGAAACTTCATTTATTCTTCATTCTGTTGTTTCATCGAGTGAAAACATGTTTTTATTATCACAAACAGTTTTACATGGAGGGTTGAGGGAAACATCTGTTTCTGGGTTGTTCAGATTTTTAGGAACCAATAAGAAATTGTTACTGTGGGAAAAGTATATAGTTATTAACACCAGTCGTATTTATAAAACATTTACAGTTTGAAAAGCTGAATCAGCTCTGACATTTTCTTCCATGTAACGATGATGGAGCTGCTGTCAGATAACAGTGATGATGAGATTTTAACAGACTATGGTTTTATTGCCTTATATCAGTGGAACACATAACTTATTTCAAACCATCCGTTTCTGTTTTTTTTAACCAAAAATAAGACTTTTATTATCCTGTATCCGTTTGCTGGGTTTATCCTCAATCTACATTATCAAGATGAACAGAATGTATGTTTTCCACGTCTGTTACAAAGAGATTATATTGTCAGTTAATTTACAGCATGTTACCTTCAAGCAGCAAAATAATTGAAGCGGAGGTTAGAATCTCCACTGAGCCGTCGTTCTTCTAATAAGTTACTAATATGCACAAACATGCCAAGTTACTGTAGAACATGTCCTTCAAGACTCTTCTGATGGAAATAAGCGGTTCTATTTCTGACGGTAACACTCAGTATCATAACCACTGTGCCTTCAACGTTCTCGGTGTGATTCACTGATGTTGGTATTAGAGCGCGAGCCAAGCCACACATGTTCCATTTTAAGCTGTGGTCCAGTGGCTGTTCCCAGTTAAGTCCAGTTTATCAGCCCTTGGGCACGTCGCCGCTTTGACTCGGCACACGGTGCGTTCACTGCCACCCGGATTGAGCTGCGGAATCTGAGAATCTCGGTTTCTAGAGATGTTTCCTGGAGGGAGATTGCAGAGAAGAGGAGGCCTTCTTCAGGAAACTATGGAAAACACCTCAGCTGATGGTGTGTTAAGGTGAAGAAGTGTGCACTAGCCTGAAGCGGTGCTTCTGGAGGAAACACCCCGGTGCACAATCCGCTCTGTTTCCTCTACTTTGCCTTTTTCTCAGGCTGCACCGTATCCCGGCGTCACAGTCAAGACTCGGTTGACTTTGGGGAAATTGTTTCTCTTCCTTTGAAGTAAAATAATTCCCATAACACACCTCTGCTTCAGCCTATCAGCTCTGCAACATTAGAAACAGGAAATCAGTAAAGTGATGAAACGTCATCGTGGACTAATTCATTCATGTTGGGTTATTGACAGGAAGCTGCTGTCTTCATTAGTCCGTCTGTTTTTTTGTTCTTTCCTCACTTGTGTTTTTGTGGCTGACGATTTAGATAAATCAAATTTAACGATGCTACAAATCAGATTTTACTGTTGTGGGTTGGGTTTAGGGTTTAAAGAATTTATATTGTTATTATTAGACTTTAACTGGTCTAAGCTGCTTTTACTTGTAAAACTTTTAAATAAGTCAAAACGCACAGAGGATACTTCCCAGAATGATCAAACACTAAATGAATCCTGGGGAGATTTCCTGAAGGATGGAGGAGACACAGCGGGACCAGCTGTTCCCAGCAGCCTTGTGTATCACCTCACCTGTCGCCAAGATAAAGTTTCTACCTGCTTCCAATATGTGAGATCATCCACCTGTGCGTCTCATTCAGAACTGTAGAAGCTGTGAAGACACAGAAAATCAAACCCTCCTCAGTGTGTGTGATTTCAACCGAATCTAGATTTTTATAGTGAAAACACTGATGAGGGATTCCAAGTCTGACAGTTCACCTGCTGTGGCCCTCGTGCAACAGCAGAGCGGCTCTGGGTGGATCTTACTATGCAGCAGGATTGGAAAAGAGAAAGATGAAGGTGAGAGTTCACAGTTGTCCTCAGTAACAATGCAACTGTCCAAACCGGCCCTCTGCGTCTTTTGAAGCAGCCGTTCCCCCCCCCCTTGCACGGACGCTCACATCGGGCACTCGCTCCCCAGTAGGTCCTCCGTCGGCCCCCCAGCTGAGGCCCGGCCCGAAGCTGCTCTGAATAGGCGAACTGGATATGTATTGAGAGGATTTGATGGTGTGTGATGTGACGGTGATTCATTGTGAAGGCTGCAGACTGCGCACGCTCTGCAGGGGCCGCTGGGGGCAGGTTGTAAAGACGTGCACAAAAGAGTGTAGTGGATTGTAGTTTGTGTGACACTTTAAGGAATGTTGCGTGGTAGCTTATCTTTTTCTTTTCATATGATGCAATACTGAATCTGTGTCCAGTGTGCTGTACTAACATGGAGATAAGGGACCCAGTTCTGCATTTAACTTGTGCAGCTGTGTTTTACTGATGTGTTTGAATCATGCACCATGAGCTGCCGTCATGTTTCATGGCATTTTACTTCTCCTCATAACTTTGAATGCAATCAGTGCCGATGTGTTCTAAGACAGATGTTCAGTCTGTTTGTCTAAATGGCCTTTTCTCTCAAAATGAATCATTTTTTTCGTTTATTGTGAGTTTGTTCTTGGATCGTAAACTAACTACGAGGAGGTGAAGTTTTCACAGTTACATCTTCAGGAGATTCAAATCTTTTCTGTTATGCATCTTCTCCAGCCTTATATCACTGTCTGCCTTTCATCACATGTAACGTGTTGCAGAAAGCTGCCGTGTCGTGTTTTCTTCATGATGTTTTACACTCGAGTCGTCCCTCGCCTCCGGTAGATCAGTGTGATGTTTGAGCAGGTGTGTGGTTTGTAAACTGTTCCGTGTGCAGAACATATTTAAACTGTTTATTTGTTGAGTGGGCAGCAACATTCCTGCCCTGCAGAGCTCTGAAGGCCTCTCTCCACTCCCAACATGCTTTGCTGCACCTGGATGGCTCTTCGTGGACCTTTGTCCAGCTGTGCAACCAGGAAGTGTTTTGCTTTCCCAGAGACCCTTGCTCCTTGAGCTGGGGGCGAGGGAACCGCCCGGTAGTGTCACATGATGTACATGTATAAAAACTGACATTCGTAGATGTGTAAGAATAAAGTAATGTGTGATAAAGGAAACGTGTGTGTGTGTGTGTTTTTATTTGATATTGTCGTTTATATTTATATGTGTTTAAGATGCTGAATGAATCATCACAGGTTTGTATCTTCACGAAAACTAAATCTGTCAGAGTTGCATGATTTCATATGTGAGATTTCTGCCTCATACGTTTGTTTGTTATAATTGTTCATTTGTAATTTTTCACATTTAATTGTTTTAAGACAGTGGATTAAATGTGGAAGTGAAACTCTCTACAAGCGCATCTCGTTTGATGGCATAAAATACACACGTTATATATTTAATTTAACACATTACACACCAAGCTTTTACCAAACTTCAGCCTCATTCTTTATACGAGAATGAATCTTATTCCTCCTCCCTGTCGGACCACCTGACCTAGCTCCTCTCTAAGCCCGAGTCCAGGCAGGAACACGGTTCTAAATAACTCCCTCACCCCTCTGATACCTTTGAAGCCCCCTGACACAGAGAGGGGATGTTTGGTGGCCCCCGCCCAGACGCCTGGGGTCCTGGGGGTGGGTTGTTTAAACTTTTACAGACTGTCAGGATGGCTGGGTGTGATGTGGGTCTCCACCTGACTCAAACCCAAGAGACGAAGACTGAGGCCGAGCTCTCGCTGTGTTTATTGTGTTTGGCTGCAGGGGAGAGAGGCCTGAATTTACAGGGACACACCGCACCGGCTCTGCTGGGCTTCCCCTGATTGTACGGACGAGGACAGACTGACTGGAGACCCCAAAGCTTTGTCCAGTGTTTGTGTGACTCTGAGCACAAACGTTTTTCAATGAACAGGGACTTTACGAGCTCATTCTCTTTTTTTAATGGGATGAAAATGTGATTCCAACAAATAATTATCTTAAATTTATCTATTATCAAAAACCTAAGGAGCATTTTTTTCTCTATTGTCTGCAGCCCCAAGAACATTACTGCGTCTGCCCATAAAGGGGAGCGGCCTTCACAGATCTCATGCACATGCTGAGGCCGGAGGATTTCCGTGATTTGCGTCACCAGCTCGTCCCACCCACTGAGAAAGTTTTAATACCCCTTTATTTTCTAACATGTGGAGGCGACTGTTTGAACCATGATACTTACATTCAAAAGTGGTGGTGACAGTGAAAAACAGTTTGTCACTCAAGCGCTATGAATCCTGGGATATGTTGGTGTGAGAGGGATCCAGCTGTTGGAGTCTGTTGCGGAATCACACATCTGTGGGCTGATGTGTGATTTTCACTTATTCATTTTCACTTATTGATTAATTAGCATCGAACACAAAACACAGCCGATGGGACGAGCTGACGCTTCAATGCATAAATGGTTCTAAATTTCAAGTGACTTTATGTCGACTGACCCAGATGTGCACCTCTGAAGTTGAGTTGACCTTTACTGTGTCGTCTTCAATGAATCAGAGATGAAAAGAATAAGAACGCAGGTTCTAATGAGAGAGCTCGTCTTCCTGCCGTCCTTCTGTTCTCTGTAAGAGGGGAATAGATTTAGATCAACAGTCCACAGACCCCCCCCCAGTTCTCCGATGTAAACAGGAACGTACAATGAGGGGCCCCTCTCCCTCTGAACTCTGGGCCAGCTGCTCTTCCTCATCATCTTCCTCTTTTACTCATCTCCGTGTCCCCTCAGCTTCTCTCATGTGTTTGTTTGTTGCTTCGAATATTTCAAAGGACTTTTCATCCATGTGATTCCTGTTTTTATTCGAGTGCAGTTTAAACTGGTTTGTTGTGTTTCTCATTTGTGGGACACAGACAAACTGAACAGTTGCAACAAACTCAAAGTTGGAAAAGTTTTTTATAATTAAAAAGTATATTAAAGGACAAAGTGTTCACTTTAATTCATAAGTCTCAAAGAAATGCTAAAAAAAGACGTGTTTCTCTAAACTTTAATAATGGATTTAGGTAGACTTACAGTTTTATTTTAAGCTTTAACAGAGGTGCAATTTTGTGAGAATTTCTGCTAAATCAAAGCCCAAATTGATTTGATTGTCTCTCATGAAAACAAAGCAGACACTGTGACAATCACTCAAGTCACACTTCAGCATAACGAGACTGACACTGGGGTCACACCTCCACCAAGGCCCAGCAGTCTCCTCATGAAGCCACATTTAAATTCGCCAAATCCAGATTTTATTTTTTTTTTAAATCTGCAACAATTTCATCAAGATCCACAGATATTTGAATGAGAAATCACAAAAAACGCCTTGATCCTCACAGAAACTTCTTGCATGAACCAAGTTCCACTGAGTTTTGTGTTAATCCGTCTTGTAGTTTTTGTGTGATGCTGCTCACAATCAAACAGGAGTGAAAATGGTGGGAAAATATGTGAAATAAAAGAAACACTGTTTGAAGAGGAACTCGAGTTCTATTTTCTATCTGTCGAACACCTTGAGTCAGTGCCTGTGGGATTTGCGTTGCTGTTTGAATGTTTGAGGGTTCCAGTGTTCCGGCCTCCACACAGAGTTTCCCCTGGGAGAGAAGCTGGAAGCAGAATGACTGTTTCTCCTGCTGCACGAACACGACCTCTCCCACACCCACTCCTCAGTGTCCCCTTCCCTCTCATCCACAACTCTGCCACCCAGAGTCAGATGATCGGCTGGAATAATGTCAGGAATGTGTTTTCGCTCACGTTATGTGTGGTCGGTGCTAAATGAAGTCAGGGAGAGGAATTTTCCTGTGGACAAATAACTGTTAAATTCATTGTGAGACGTTATTATTCTCGAGAACCAGGCTCCGCTATGCAAATCACAATGTGCCAGTTGGTGGGAAACCTGCTGGATTGTTCATGACAGTCAACAGATAGTGGGCGCTGTTCCTCTGGGTGTGGAGAGATTACACTCCGAGGAAAGAGAAGAGTTTCCTTCCTGCGTCGTAAACAAACAACATGTGTGAAATTTGGCTTTAATATTGACTTTTAGAGTCTCAGAGCCAGCGTTGCACAATGTGTTGCAACAATCCTCTCACAAGTGCTTGCACTCGAGTACAAACTTGAACAAACAGCCTGTTGAAATCATTATGTGTCTGTGTACGAGCAGCTCAGTGCTATAATAAGAAGAGGGGAGTTTTCTGATGAACAACATATCAGTTATAGCAATAACCTGGAATTGCACTGGGTTGCTGAGTTCATTGGGTCCAACAGTCTGAAATGTGACTGATCGTTTTCTTCAAGCTGAGAATGATTATCGGGGAAATTAGTGGGAAAAAAAAAAAGCTGCCAAACTCACAAAGTTTAGATCCACATGTAAATGTGTGGTTCTTCTCTACGAGTCCTTCCACCAGCTTCTCTGGTGATCGGGCAGATTTTGTGAAATCCTGCTGAAAAACAAAGAAACAAACAAACTGATGAAGACAGAGCTTCCTTATTAAGTAATGAAATTAGATTTTAGAGAGAAGTCTGTTAGGAAACAAGTAAGGAATTCTTTTTTCTATTTATTTTGGTATTTATTTGCACTGGTCTGTGATTTAACTGTTTATGTGAAAGCTCAATAAAGTTATTGACAGAAATAAACACATACAGTAAACGTGCGAGCTGCAGACACAAGGGCAAACTTTCATTTTGATTCTACGTTACTTTCATGAAATATAAAAAGGCAAAGTCAGGCTTTTCGGAGGATTCCCCACTTTATTTTGGCCTCTTCAGTGATGCATGTTAATCTGAACGTGGCCTCTGAACATCAGCCTCCCACCGTGACTGAAGAAAATGCTCCTTCATCTGTTCCCAGGTCTCTTTGGGGCTTCGGCGGCTGCTGTGCAGGTTTTCTAAAGACGCAGACAGACGCAGTCAGAGTCGACATGCGTGGATTGAGGTGCATTAATTGCCTCTTGATCTGAGGTTTGACCCGAGAGCCAGCTCCTGCATTCCTCGGGCTTTGTGCAGGCGGACAGGAACAATATCAGGACGCACATTTAGGCCTCGGGATTTGTCGACCGTGTCCACCTGGTCTGAGCGCAGGAAATTGTCTGTCTGTGGCTGCGTGTGAAGACCACGGCTCAGACGTGTGCGTTTGTCTCTGACATGAAAAAAATCCAACATGTTCTAAGACAGGCAGGAAACAGCTGCAAGCATGTGTGTGTGTGTTCATACTGACTTCTAGAATGCCAAGTAACACACACACACACACACTTTCTTCCCCCGAAACAGGATCAGGCAAAATGGTCAAATCCGCTCAAATCCCAATTTTCTATCCGCCGCCTCCCACAAACCAATATTAGACTCTTAGACTCAGATGCACGCAGGCAGGGGACAACTGAATAAAAGACACGTATCTGTCTTCAAGCTGTTTTCAGACTCAAACCCCAGAAAACTTCCAGAGATCTGGGGCTGGACATTTTCCAGAGTTCCCTCTCACATATGAAAAACGCAGCAGGAGATCGAATGGGTTCGGACAACGGGTTCACAGCGACGGGAACATTTCCAGAACCTCCAGGTGAGGGGTGGAGCCTGGACGGAGCACGCAGGAGGCAGAACGAGACGTGTAAATGTAAATTCAGAGAATTTTAGCGCCGGGCCTCAAAATTAAAAACTCTTGAATGTCTTTGTTGGCGTCTTCGACTTGTTTGGCCTGAGATATTTGTATTCCTCAGGTTTCATGTCTATCGTGTGTGGGTGTCCTCTTCAACATGTCCACTCACTTGTTGTCGATATTTTTCTGCCATTTTCTCACGAGGGACGATGGACATTTTAGGGACAAACAGTGAAAACGTCTTTACATCCTTGACCTTTGAGCTCAACACGCACCTGCTCGTACCTGCAGATCCAGAGCTTTGTAACTTCTGTTAGAAAGTAAAGTTGGCACAGTATTTGCAGTCTGGGCCCCGAGGCTTTAAACGACCTGCCTGAGGAAATCATGTCAGCTGACTCAAGTCATTTCTCTTCTTAAAATAAACTTTTACTGGAGGTTCTCTCTCGTTCGTTTTCTTCGAGTCGTCTTTTAAATGTGATCGTTTTCGGACTTCTTTGTTTTTATTGCTTCCTTGTGATGCGCTTTGTAATCTGGGTTTTAAAAAAGTGCTCTGTAAAAGTTTATAATTATGACAATTAGGTTGAATTAAAGTGTGTGTGTGTGCCTGTGTGTGTGTGTGTGTATCGTGTGGATCTGGCACAAAGGTGGAGAGTCAGCTGCAGAGTCAGATTGCAGCCAATGTGTGTGTGTGTGTGTGTGTGTGTGTGTGTGTGTGTGTGTGTGTGTGTGTGTGTGTGTGTGTGTGTCCTGGATCTTCTCCCATCAAACTCTCTTAAACTGACTCTGACATTTTAAACTCGAGCCGAGCTCTAAACCACGAATCCGCTCCTTCCCCAAAACCTCCGTCTCCCTTTGTCCACACATCTAGAACATCTGGTTGAGCGGCATTTACTGTAAAGGTTGTCGGTGTGAATCTTCCTGCCTTAGTTAGACTCTTTACCCTTCCTCGCTTCACTACCTGCTCCAAACATGACATTCATGAGATTCCAGACAAGCACCAACGTCCCACCAAACCTGCAGAAAAGTCTGCTTTGATAAAGACAAGTCCGGTTCTGCATTTAGTCACTTCAGAGTAAAATATAAAAGGAAGGTTTGATGCACAGCTGTAATCAAAGAGCAGAATGAAAGCAGTAAGTTGAATCCTGCCTCATTTTTCTTTCTTGCTGCACATTTCAAGTATTTATGTTTTAATATTTGTAGAATTACTGGATTTTACAACATTGGAGCAGAATTAAGTTTTTATATTCGGTAAAACCTCGATACGATCATCTCGCTGGGGTTTTAATCTGAGGGACGGAGGACGGAAGGGGTTTTCTGTCTGGAGGTTGTTGCCCCCCCTGTGTTTTTGAATGCTGTGCCTCTCTCCTGGTAATGTGCCCGAGGCGCATCCTTTAAACCCATGAATGCCAAAAATATTCCCCAGTCCTCTGTGACTGAGTGAGATGAACACCACAGATAAATGGATTCTCCTAAGTGGGTTCAACCTTGAAAGGCATCATGACGAACTGTGGAAGCAACGCGAGACTAATTATAATTTAGAAAGAGTTGAATGTAGAATGAAGTTGGTTTTACACTTGCAGCCTCTAATTTAAATAATAATATATTTGACTTTTAATATTGAGCTCTTTTACTTTATTTGAATTATGTTCTTCAACACTTTTCATTGGACCGTTGATTCTGTGTTAACTTACATATGAGAAATAAAAAAAAAAACTCCTCAGAGTTGATTTAAAACAGTTGAAAACGGTTGCAGCAGATCTAAAAATGTAAACTGCAGCCGGATTGATTGGACAGATATGACACAACATAACCAAAACTCTAATTTTGTTTAAAGGCAGCCACATGCAAACAAATGTCCCAGCAGCCAGACTGAGCTGTGAAACTAAATAACGTAATGTAATTCAGTGGGTGGACTCCTGTACTGAGTCATGATTCAGATGAGTCAACTGCTGTGTATGAAAATTAGACGAGTTCTGTAAACGAGCCACATATTGTTTCCTCATTCCTGCGAGCGTCTGATCTCTCTGACTTTACAACATCGAACCCAGTCCGGGGGGAATGAGTGTCGCCAGCAGGAGCGGGGAGAATGGATTGATTCCATATTGTTAAATGCTTCTTGCAGCTGTACTGTATTTCAGGTATTTCCTTGCATGTGTTGGGTTGTGTCATGTGCAGTTGTAGGTTTCCTGCCTGAGGCCTCAAATACAAATACAGTAGCATATAGGAAGAGACGAGAGGGATATGCAGGTCAACGTGTTTGACTGGTTGGGCGTTCACTCATCATCTACTCAGCACTCTGCCGGTGGAGGATGGGCGACGTGTTTGAGTCCACAAAACACGTCTGGAGTTTCAGGGGTGAAAATGCAAATACAATCGACGTAACCGATGACCTCCATGCTGCGCCTGCGTCGTCCAAGTGTCCATGAGCCCCGTCATTCAAATTTGACTTGAGTCCAAATGTCCTCTAACGGAAGCAGTGAGGCTACCACACATACCCTTAGGCTTCTGTGTGTGTGTGTGTGTGTGTGCAAACATGAACAGGACATTTACGGTCAAACTGTCAGGGCTTGCCCACACTTGGATGACTCCACAGGAGCGGTATGTTTGTGTTGTCGTTTACTTCAGTTGTCGCTCTGTTTACCTCCCCGGGACTCCACCGGTGTCTTGTGGACTCGGAACACTTCCAGCCGCCCTCCGTCAGCCGAGCGGTGAGGAGACAATGAGAGCATTTCTTAATTTTTCTGTGAACTTTCCCCTCAAGCTCGGGACTTTTAAAGTGTGTGTACGAACGTGCGAGTGTGGTAGTCCCCTCTGTCTACCTGCAGAGGGCGGAAAAGCTCCGGGGTGAAGGGGGTATTAGTGAGGAAGAGTGAAGATCAGGGGCTGGACTTGACTGAGGTAGAAGAGGAGGAGGAAGAGGAGGAGGAGGAGGAAGAGGGTGGTAGTCATGCCTGTCTCCTCTGATCCTTTGTACACACCAGAGAACACGCTGCTCTCACTCACACCCAGGACTCCTCGTGGCTGAGCCCGGCCGTCATCCCGCGACACACCGGACCCAACCAGAGGAAGCACCGGCCGGAGGAAGAGCTCCGGGGGAAGAGGGAAGCGCAGCGAGAGGAAAGCAGCGATGTCCGGGCTTAAAAAGAGGAACTCTAACTCTCTGACGGACCGGGAGGAGGACAAGCACGTCACCCAGAGGATGCTCTCCCCGGGCGAGGAGAAGCGGGACCCCAGCCTCGGTGGAGAACCGGGAGGCGACGCCACGGCACCGGGGGGCGCTGCCGGTGGAGACGGAGCGGGGGACGGGGTCGCCCTGAAGAGGACCATCACCCTGCTGAACGGCGTGGCCATCATCGTGGGTACCATCATCGGCTCCGGGATCTTCGTGACGCCCACCGGCGTGGTGCGGGAGGCCGGCTCGGTGGGTCTGTCCCTGGTCGTGTGGTCCGTGTGCGGGGTGTTCTCCACGGTGGGCGCCCTGTGCTACGCGGAGCTGGGGACCACCATCTCCAAGTCCGGGGGGGACTACGCCTACATCCTGGAGGTGTACGGCTCCCTGCCCGCCTTCCTCAAGCTGTGGATCGAGCTGCTCATCATCCGCCCGTCCTCCCAGTACATCGTCGCCTACGTGTTCGCCACCTACCTCCTCAAGCCCGTGTTCCCCGACTGCCCGGTGCCGGAGAACGGGGCCAAGCTGGTGGCCTGCCTCTGCATCCGTGAGTATCCGGTCCGAACCGAACCGAACCGTGATACCCGGGGTGATGCAACTTCAGATTGTGTCGATACTGTGACACACACACACACACACACACACACACTACTACCTTTCTGTGCCACGTGCTGTGCCAGTCTCGCGCACACGCGCTGTGAAAACCCGCGCGTTATTACATCAGCAGGATTCTGCAGTGTTTCATCACTTCATTAAAAAAAACCATTTACAAGCATCTCAACGTGTTCACTTTACTCATGTGCTCATTATATCCACACGTTTTTATTCTCATCTAATATTCAACGAGTTTTTTTTTTTTACTTTAATGTCTGTAATTTACTTTTCACTCAATATTTCGTGAGGATGATTAATTTAATTCTATGATTCCACATCATTTTTTCTTTCATTTTACGATCTCGTAATATTGAATGAATGTCAAATGTATTTATAATAATACGACTTTATTTATTTAGCACTTTTCAAAAACAAGTTTACAAAGTGTTTGAAATTCGTTTTTTTTTTTTAAATTATGCTTTATTTTATTGTGTCTTCATAATTAATTGTCTGTGACTGACAAACATGAGAAAGACATAATTAAGATTCGATGAAGGTAAAGCAGAGAGACCATAGTGTCTTTATACACTTTAGATAATGATGAAATTCAACAAACTGATCCATCTTCAAATCTTAAATAAGAAAATAAGAAATCTTCATCGCGTATTGTAGTTTACTAAATGATCCGTTATGATTTGTTCCAAATCCAGTGTAGACGTTTACTTCACTGCTCATCGGGAGCTTTAAGTACTGTTGGGTACCTCAGTGTGTGTCACAGGCTCATTGTGTGTGTGTGGAGTCTTAACAAAACTTAAGTCTGGATTATTAGCAGCTTCAGCTTGTTAGCACTCAGTCTTTACAACAAGTGTGCCCCCCCTCCTCGGTGAGACCACATGACTGTGGACCAAGAGGGTCGTGTGTGTGTATGGGTGTGTGTGTGTGTGAGAGCCAAATTTGGTCTCGCTCTCTTGCACACACACACACACACACACACACACGGTCTATTTCGGTGACAGTCATTGTTCCATTTGACCCATTTCTTCAGGGAACTCGTCAGCGTGTTTATATGTTCACCTACATGCAAATGTTACCGTCCACAATAGTATTGGCCAGTTATGTCTGTGCATGCTTGCATATGAGTTTAGATGCCATGTCCTTGTGTGTTCAGCCATCTACTGTACTCAGCCTCTCTCTCTCTCTCTCTTCCTCTCCCCCTCTCTCTCCTTGTCTTTGTCCTGCTCTCTCGAACACAGAGCCTCATTGTCCTCCGTCTCCTTCTGTTGTGGCTTCGACCTGATTTAGGAGCTTTGAAGGGACCTGCTGCTTCAGTTAATCACTTTTAATGGGGTCCAGGTTTAGGGGGCCACCTAAAAAACTCTGTGTGTGTTGTGTGTGTTGTGTGCACGGTGGAGGGGGCTGTGTACCAGTACTGTACATGTGTGTGAGTTACAGAGAAGTTCAAGTAGAAAAATGGCGTGCAGGAGAACAGTTTAAAAGCTATTTTAACATGTGTGAAATTACAGTGTGTTCTATATACGGAACGTGAAAATCATTGGCAAGGAGAATTAAGTTCTGCGTGTGCCTCCTCACATGGTATCCTGCAGACGGAGAGGAGACGCTGGTGATGGGCTGTAATTCAGAGAGCGTGTGGTTGACAAGTAGAAACCAGAGTTTGGTCAAATCAAGTCTCTTTATTAAGCAAATTTAAACCAATCAGAGTTGATAAAAGTGCTTTAGACTGAACGACATGGAGAGAAGTGGAAGAATAAAATGACATCAAACAGATAATGACCTCAAAAGATAAGCGGTAGAGATAAGGGATGGATGGATATTGAATAATAAATAAAATAACTCTGTTCACATGTTGAAGAAAGAGCTGATCTCACTCTCTGTCTTTATTCTCCGTCCTCCTCTCTCCTGCAGTCCTGTTGACCTTTGTGAACTGCTACAGCGTGAAGGCTGCCACCAGAGTTCAGGACTTCTTCGCCGCAGCCAAACTTCTCGCGCTCGGAATGATCATCATCATCGGCTTTGTCAAGATCGGCCAAGGTACTGAACACAAGCAAGACACCAACACACACACACACACACACACATTCACCAGGTCACCGCTCGGGATGGAGTCTCCACTCCCATCACCGCTAACACAACTTTCAACTGTCAAAAACAGGGAGTGGTTCGTGTGACATGGGGAGTTTGTTTACTCATCAACCACAGTCACTCTAACATTCTCTCCATGCAATTATATGGATAATTAACCCTGACATTACTAATCTCATGTGCAAAACACCATTTATTCAAACAACATTCTGAGTAATCCAGGCAACTATGATGTACAAGAGTTTTCCCACCATGACCATCTTATTGCACCCTGTTGTTGTTGATGCGATTTGAGCAGCGTGGAGCCAGAGAAGTCGTTGTTAAGCTCCCTGGCGTCGGGCCTGACCCTCATTAAGGTCCCAGGATGTTGTGAAGTGTAAACCAGGAACAAGAGGACGGAATAAAGAACCCAGACGATGACTCTTGAACAGAACGCGGCTCTGTTCATTCAGAAATCCACTCATGAGAAGTCGTAGGAAGATTGGAGCTGAATAAGCAAGAAGTTTTACTGAGGAGGGTGAATTAACACAGACTGGAAGTGAGCTCATGGATTCAAACCCTGCCCCCTAGAGGAAAACTGCCTCAACTAGGACTTTGGGGGTCACTGGGTTCATGCCAAAGAAATGAGACGACTACAGTTCAGTCCTAAATATTGAAGTTGACATCAAACCTTTCCACTATTGAAAACCCCTTTGCCCACGTGCTTGTATCCCCCTGCTGCCGATGTGAGCCTCCGCTGCCAGCTGTATTTAATTAAAGTAAATCACTGCTCTGATGACAGGGAAAGAAAGAATTAGACGGGAGACAAGCATGTGTGCAGAGACTGAGTCATGAAGTGAGAGACGCAGAACCAGTCTGGCAGAACCACAGTCGTGCGCGTGGAGCAGAAATTCCTGTTTGCTAGTATAGTGTGGTGCTCACGAGGGCATAGTCTTTGCATGTGAGACTAAATAAACATCGTGGAGACCCCTCATCTGACTTCAGCCATCGCCTTCGTCCTTGTTTGAAGTATTTTCTGTTTTCATGACACAGACATGCAGAGGATGCACCTGCTCAGTGTGCGAATCATTATGTGACATCTGTTGTCTGGTGTGCTGGCATGGGTGGAGGTCACTAATATGACTCGTGTGGATGGAGATTGTTATAGATTTGATTCTTTAAAACCAAAACACATCAGTGTGGGTGAAGCCTGAATGTGACCCTGAAGCACTCGCTGTTTAACGATTTGTAGCATGAAGCTGATAACAGAATCTTATTGTTGGATTTTTACTCAGTTACAAAGTCGTGTGTAGTTTTCAGAAAGTTCTCGAGGTTTTCGCTGGCGTTCAGAGTGAGGGACGATTGTGTTGAGCAGCCGACTGAACCGGTAACCTGTGTGTCTCCTCCGTCTGGAGCACGGAGCCCACCCTTGACCTTTGACCTTACACCTGACATTGACCCTTTGAGATGTCGCTGCTTTCCTGAAGTTTAACTTGAACTGCAGCATAAAACCTTTAGACCTGTGAAACATTACACTGTGAGAACTACAAAGTAGTTTCACGTGTTGTGATTCCCCAAAGTAAAACAAGCGTTAAGTGAAAGCTCAGCTCAGGTACTGGAATCAAATGAAGAAGAACCTGACTAATTATTTACCAAAAAAACGATTTTTTTCCGATATGAGCCAAGTGTAAGAGTTTATTTTAAAAACTTGAATCCTTTAAATGAGTCTCTAAAATCTGTTTTCTGTCCAGAATCATCAGAAGCTTCAGTTTCTCAAATCAGATAAATCAGTCGGACCGTAGATTTCATTTGAGTAACGATGAGCCTGAGCTGTAACTGCTCCACCTGCAGCAGCTTCCTGTTGATCTGTATCCACGCAGTGACGCTGGATCACAGAGAGGGATTCTACTCATTTGTGCCATTTCAAAAACCAGCCCCTCGTAAACCTTCGACATCGGTCTTTGTTATCACAGTGCCTCTGATAACTGTTTATGTGAGACGCCTCAGATTATCCAGATTTAGACAAAGACTGGGCGCGTGGCTGGGATTACATCAACAAACTCAGCTGTCGGGTCGGCTGCCGCAGCTCTGTCTGACTGGTGTCTGCCACTTGAGCGATTCACCGATGTTGGAGCGAATGTTTAAAGATGATAAGGAAATTAAGAAGAGAGAAAAACAATAAAATACAGATGTTTCATTATCCCGAGTGCCGGTGGATCCAGAAGCAGCGTGTTGTTTTACCCCTGTGTGTGTGTGTGTGTGTGTGTGTTGTATCTGTGACTCAAGGTCTGAATCTGCTGCTCTCTCAGATTAGACACCAGGTTAATCTGATTAGCTCCACTAAACCCTGCTTTCTCAATGTGACACCTGTCCACAGGGTTCGGAAAAGAAAGAAACACAGATATTTGTCCCTCGGAAACAAGCGACCTAAACTGTCCACTGAGTTACTCCAGTTTCATCTCATCATATCCGTGATGTCGGGATTTCCCTCTCTGCGTCCGGTTCTTTATCTGACTGATGCCAACACAGTTTATTAAACTCAAACACCAGTATATTCTGACCTAATGTAAATATCCAGTGGTTTTCCACAGCTGGTTCACTCACCTGTGCTCTCACACCAGCTCCCTCTGAGCTGTTCTGTAATTAAAGGTGTGTGTTTGCACAGCGGAAGGTTTCCCACTGAATCACTGCAAATATATAATATATATAATATCAGAGAACTCCAGTCATGTCTCAAGAGGAGGTCTAATCTGATCCGGTGTCTTTTTAACTTGAATCCAAAACCAGGTATTTGAAACTTTCTTTGCTGATATGTGAGCACCCTGTATGTGTGTGTGTGTGTGTGTGTATGTCAGTTTCACTGCCTGGCACTGGTATCATGTTGATCACAGCTCGGAGAGTTTCCTGACCGACGTGGTGGAAGGCAAAGGAGGAGAAACAGGAGGAGGAAAAGCTCCAGTGTAAAAGCGAAACATTTCATTTTGTAACGTTTTGTAAAGACTGAGCAGAGCTGGGTTGAAGAAGGAAAGATAAGAGTCAGGAATGATTTAAACTTAGAGAGCCGTAAAGGTCAGATCAGCTGATGGAGCCTCAGAGAAGACGTGAGCTGAGGGTTTGGAGGCTGACGGTCCTGTTGTGTAGCAGTTGTGGGTCTTTGTGCGATGGTCATGTGAGCTCTCATTGTAAAAAAAAAAAAAAAAATCTCCCTCTTTACATCCAGTGAATGTCTGAATGAAGAGAAGTGACATTTCAGTGCACAGAGTACAGAATGTAAAGTAAACTTTCTCCACTGTTTTTGGAAAGCTGCACGATGTTACACACACACACTCAGTGCGTCCATAAATGTACAGGATCCATGAATTATTCCCTGGGACGTGAGAGAAAAAGTAATGAAAGTGAAAAAAGTCCTGGATCCGTCCCAAAATGTAATGAGTTCTTTCTTGGCTCACGTCCCATCCTTCCACCGAGTTTCATGGGAATCTGTTCAGTGGATTAAGTGTGAAAAACTAAAAGCACAATATTACCGTCTGACAGTGATGTGGTGGAGTTAGTGTTATTACAGGAAATATAAAGAAGCAAATAAATGGAACAACCCGGCTCATTAGGCCGAAACAAACAGCAGGAGTCACATCCGTTTCCAGGAGTTAAATACAAATCATTTATGAAAACAAAATAGGGGAACAAGAGTGGAGAAGTGAGCGCACATGATGTCAGTGCACGAAAACTCATCATGTAAATATCGGACAGAGGCGTCAGAGTGTAGTTTAAGAATCCATCGATGTTTCTTCCACATTCTGACTTCAAAGCACATGAACACAGTTGGATCAGCGACTTCACAGCTCAGGAAACTGAGCGACAGCGGCTGAAGGTGTGACCAGTCGACACAGAGGATCCCTGCCACACCCAGCAGCCACGTGGAATACAGGCCGACGCACACAGCATGACAGAGGGTCGTCACACACTCAGGCTGTGTACCTGCAAATTAGACGTAATTACTTTCGACCCCAAACACAAGGAACCTCTGTTACAGCCGGGATGTTTGAATCAGATCAACCGGGAACCAGACGCCTCCAGGGCACTGTAGCGCCCCCGTCAGGCCGGTGTGCGGAGCAGTGTCGGGCTCTCAGGGCGCTGCAGTCACACGTCCGTCTCTCTGACTACAGGCGGCAGCATAATGTGAGATTGTCTGACAAGACAGGCAGCACAGTAATCAGGCATTTCCCACACTGCACAGTGGCTTACGACTAAGTCTCCCAGTACCAACACGGCCTGGGGCTGTTGGTTTAGCAACCGGCGCTGTGTCTGAGAATGTGTGTGTGTGTCGTGGAGTTCAGGTCCGTCAGGAATGTGGCGCAAACCAGCAGAAACCTGGAGGTCAGACGAGCAAGCTAAATGTTGTAAATCCTCGAAATGGCAGAGAAACCATCGTGGCCGCTCCACGCCAGCGGCTTCAGGTTGATCCACAGTCTGAGTCAGTGATTGAGCGTCTCAGCCTCAACTTGATTAAATTCTACCGTCCTGCTCTGATCCACACACGGAGACAGATTTAAGCTGAATACTCTCCCTCCCCTGAAAAAATAAAACCTGTTTGGTGAATGTTGGTGTGCGTTGAGTTAATACACATCTTTCTTTTTACTCCTGCCGGCTGGTTTGTTTGTTTGTTAACAGGATTATCGGCAAAAACTACAACGCAGAATTCCATGGAACTGGGTGGAAGGAGAAAAGACAACCTGTTGAATTTTGGGAGGATCTAGTCATTTCTATCACTTTTTCTATCATTTGATATTTTAATTTACACCAGTATCTTCAGTAAAGTGAGTCTGATGTTTGGGTGAGTGTGAATATGGAGAATGTTGAGAAAAAGCTGAACTGTAGATCAGTTAAAAAGAAGTCATTTAAAATTCCCAATATTCAGCAGGAAACTTTTAAAATATGAAGAATTCTAAACAGGTGGATTCGTTACAGCAGCAGCTCTTCTGCTTCAGGAAGCCGGGGATCATGGGTAATATCCCCGTTGGTGTTTCAGTTCAGTGACGACGCAGTCAGAGCTTTCACCACGAGTCCCTGTAGAGGGCGCTGTTACTCAGTGAAAGTTACATAGTGTTGCTTTAACCCGGTTTGCTCTCTGTTTCTTCTCGTCTTCTCCAGGGGGCGTAGACAGACTTCTTCCAGAAAATTCATTCGAAGGATCCAAATATGAGTTTGGGAGCCTCGGCCTGGCTCTGTACAGTGGTCTGTTTGCCTACGGTGGTTGGTGAGTCTTCAAAGTTGTTCAATATGAGTGGACTTTAGTACGTGATTGATAATGTGTGATTTGTATTTATACTTATTTGACTTTCTCTGTTTTTAACCCATGTAAAGTGTCTTTGAGCATTTTTAAAATCGTTATATAACTGAAACCTATTATTATTATTATTATTATTATTATTATTATACATCCCTGCTACATAACTGCCCCTGGTCTAACTGCCGTCCCCTCTGCTTCCAGGAACTACTTGAATTTTGTCACTGAGGAGATGATTGAACCTTACAAGTGAGTTTTTAACGATTTAGAAACACAGACAGATGATCTGCACTTTTAATCTGCGTCAGAACTCAGACTGTTTGCTCGTCTTCCTCAGAAACCTTCCTCGAGCCATCATCATCTCTCTGCCTATAGTGACGGCCGTGTACGTTCTCACCAACCTGGCGTATTTCACCACACTCTCCCCAGATCAGATGCTGAACTCAGAGGCCGTGGCTGTGGTGAGTGTTCTCACAAAGCCTCTGTTTGTAATTGTCACAGTGGAGTAAATGTCACCCTTTAAATAGAAAGTAGCTCAGAATCAAACCCTCAACCAGCCCTGCGAGTCATCACTATGACGAGGAGTCACTACAAGTCACTACCAGGGAGAAGCCTCCTGATGCTGATGTTCTCAATTCAAGATTAGATGAGATTTAATTAGTCTCACGAAGGTGGATAGGCAGAGTTGCAGCAGCAAACTGGAAATTAAAAATAAGAAGCATCAGTAAGAAAAAATTTCACATTAATATAAACACAAGAGGAATATAAAACTAGCAGTAATATATACAGTTTAAACAGGATTGTACACAGAAATATCTTGATTTCCTGTATTTGTGGTGTCTTGCAGGATTTTGGAAACTACTACCTGGGTCCAATGTCCTGGATCATCCCCGTGTTCGTAGGTCTGTCCTGCTTTGGATCAGTCAACGGCTCCTTGTTCACATCGTCCAGGTAACTTGTTCCACACGAACACAGCTTGTGGACGCTTAACCGGTGAGTGTGAAAACGCCTCAGAGTCATTTATCTTTACGTCCTCTCCTCCTCTCAGGTTGTTCTTCGTGGGCTCTCGGGAGGGTCACCTGCCCAGTCTGCTGTCAATGATCCACCCGACTCTGCTGACCCCACTGCCCTCACTTCTGTTCACCGTATGTTCTCATCACTACTGCACACTGTCAGAGGGATCTTACTGTCGGTTCCAAAAAATCGAATAAATCTCTTTTCAGACTTTTATAATTAGAACCCGAATGATATAGATTTTTTTTTGGGACTGATACCAGGGTCTTATGTGTTCTGTCTCATGCATCAGACAGAACCCGGAGACTAGAGTAAGATGTGTAGACAACACACTGAAGAAGAAAGGATGAGAGAGGGAGGGAGGGAGGGAGGGAGGGGGGGAAAAGAGGATGAAGGGATGTAGGTGGGGCGGAGCAGAGGTAGGGATGAGGTGGACAGGTGAGGAAAAGGTGGGTCAAAGAACCAGAGACCAACAGAAACTGAACTCAAGGACGAGTAAACTAGAGTTTAAATTTAAGAGAGTCACACACACACACATACTCACACACACACACACACACACACACACACACACACCTCCAGATCTACAGTTTTATCTGTAATCTGTGTTGCTGTTTTTCTGCGGAGCCTAATTCCTCCTCTCTCTGTTCCTCCAGTGTTTGATGACGCTGCTCTACGCCTTCTCCAACGACATCTTCTCCGTCATTAACTTCTTCAGCTTCTTCAACTGGCTCTGCATCGCCATGGCAATCATCGGGATGATGTGGCTGCGTTACAAGAAGCCCGAGCTGGAGCGACCCATCAAGGTGGGTGAGACGTGATGCAGCCCGACAATCTGCGATGTGCACGTTCTTGTTGTTTGCAGCTGGTTTGCCCCCAGAGCTCTGAGAGGAGGCTCGGCTCAGATCATGGGACATGGACAAGATGCACGCAGTCAGTCAGATACAAGTGGACGTTAAAGTTTCGTCTTTATCGCCATTGACTCCCACACGAGTTAGCTTTGGCGACAGGAAGTGTTTCCCTGTGTTCCGCGAACAACAAAGATCCTTTCAGCGGAGCTCGGATGAATAGAGACTGATCTCAGATTAAAAGACAGAGGCGAAGCTGGATGCTTGTCAGCTGGTCTTCAGGCCTGCTGGGTAGTGGTGTGTCTTTGTGTGTTTGTGTGTGCGCAACAGGAAGAGAGCTGTGTCCTCTGACTAGACCACTTGCTGCAGGACTCGCCGACACACAGAGGACCATTGTGCCATTGTTGCATGTCTGGATGTGTGTGTGTGTGTGTGCGTGCATGTGTATCTCTTATTAGAGCCGGATGGCCGCCATAAAACTTTCTCGCTCGCTTGCATGGCTTCATTTGTTGGTCAGAGGCGGGATCTGTCAGGGCAGTGAGGTGGAAGAAGCAGATAGATCTATTGATCTATTGGCCCAGTGCTCGCTGTGTGTGTGTCTGTGTGTGTGTGTCTGTGTGTATCGGCTCACTGTGTCTCTGCTCTCCCTCTCTTATTTCTCTGTCCTTTCTCTGTCTGTCACATTCCTGCTGTTCAACAGATTCAGAGTGAAGCTGCCAAGAGAATCACCCAATTCCGTTTATTAATTAATGTCCCAAGAGACGAGAGTGCGTGCATCAGTAACCTGGAAGTTCACCGACACCTCAGGGACGTTGTTGGACGAACAGATTTCGTTTCCACACAGTTGTTTCAAATATAACTCTGAGTTGTTGCATTAAGATTCAACTTCCCCGGAGTGAAGGGGATCAGAGTCTGAAATATGAAAAACTTCCTCAGACTCAAAAGTGAGGACAAGAAATGAAATTACATTTTTTTGTCTCGCGAGCAGAAGCACTCAGTCTCTCTTGTGATTTATTGTCTTTCGGCCGGTTGTTGTTTTCGAAAATTGCTTCTTCACGGTTTAGATTCACTCTCTTTCCACAAGTGGCCACGGTTGCGGTTGTTTCCACTTTAAAGCCAAAGATAATCCCATTTAGAAAACTGTTTACTGTTTGTTTATCATTAAGATAAGATGAGAGAATCCTTTATTGGTCCCACAACGAAGCAAGAGCAGTAACATACTATTCTTAAAAATCTAGTGTTTACTTTTTATTATCTACTGTATTTTTTAAAGGGCTAAATAAACTTGAATTACTTTGTTATTTAGACTCTAGATAGTTTAAAGAAACGTAATTAATACTAAAGTACGGGTGATAAAATGAATGATTCTACAGAAGGTCGTGTGTCAGGACGTTTCTGTGCCTCGTGAAGAAACAGTGGCATCTTCTCCTCATCCAACTCTTGAAAGGGATTATTTCTATTCCTATATTTTCCAGAATGTTGAGAGAAGCTTCCGTCGATCTTTCAGAGTTTCATTTAAACCTCTCTTCTTCCTGCAGGTGAACATTCTGCTGCCGGTGAGTTTCGTGCTGGCCTGCCTCTTCCTCATCATCGTCTCCTTCTGGAAAACTCCTAAGGAGTGCGCCATCGGCTTCGGCATCATCGGCACCGGAGTGCCCTTCTACTTACTGGGCGTGTGGTGGAAGACCAAACCCAAGTGGCTGCTGCGTGGAATCTGTGAGTCTCGTCTCGGCTCGTGTTTGAAGTGTTTGCGTCGCTGGACATTGTGGCTGACGGTCGATGTTGTTTGTGTTTTACAGTTTCGACGACGGCCTTTTGTCAGAAGGTGATGGAGGTCGTGCCTCAGCACTAGTAGAAGACCTCGCCTTTAACTTCAGCCAGTGGCCTATCAGATTGAACGAACAGTGAACTCCCCTTCAGCCCCCTCTCTCTCTCTCTCTCTCTCTCTCTCTCTCTCTCTCTCTGTCTCACACACACATCCTGTCTGCAGGGTGCTGATAAGGACCTAATGAAGACGGACACATGCAGATGTCTGTGGCCATCATGTCTTTGCGGCCTTCGACTAATTTTCTTTTGTTGCTGACGTTTTTTTTGGGTTGTTTGTTTATCGAGGACTATTTTTAGTCACTAACTAAACGATGTTAGTTTTTTTTATGATGCATTTCAATGTATTTGTTTTCTGTGGATACGTTTCTGTAGAATATCCTCCTACTCGGGAAACCTGTCGTATATAGCGTGTTGTGCCTTACGTGGCAGTCGTACTTTCTGGTGTTAAGAGCTCCGTCAAGTCTGAAACCTTCACCACTGAGCAGTTTTTCAAAAATACTGATGGCAACAGCTTAGCTGTTGCTTAGCAAGACGAAGTTTCTCCTCTCTAAGCTTTGTTCATGCAGTCATTACAGTTCTTTAGCACTTTTACGAGTTTCATGCAGCCGGTGTTGTTTTGTCGTCATCCACGGTTCTATAACTATCGGTCGTCTTATCGTTGAGTTTTATCTCTGCTCTTTATTGTTGTTGTTGGTGGTTTTTAAACTTTCTGTGCTGCTGCAGGAAATAATCGAAGCTGAAGGCAGATCGAAACTATTATTTCATTTTTTTCATTTTTCACGGTGACCACAATGTTGCTTCATCACAAAACTGTGGCTGCAGCTGGAAAGATCGACTCCCAGTCGAGTATGGTTAGTTCATCTTTTTTTTAAATTTTTAATTCAGCGTCGGAGGGGAGGTCGAGCAGCACATGGACGACCTTTGTCAAGTTGGGAAAATAGCCCTGATGATGTCATAGTGGGGTCATCAGATTTATATATTGATAACAGGAAGTGTCCATCAGAAGCTGACCATGTGGGAATTTACCCAGAGAATGAAAAGGTTCCTAGATTTATATGATGGTAAACATATGCTTACTACGTGCAGCCTACTGATGTCACCTCACAGGATTTCTGGGTATTGAAGTTTAACTGCTACTGAGGTTACTCTGCATTTTTTTTTTTTTTAAATGTCAAACGATGGCGTCTAAATGATCGAAATGATCAGATTGTCCGACGTCCGTCTATCTGTTCAGAGATTTGTGTTTTGACCGTCACTGAAAAATGGGTCAAACTGCTGTTGAGATTTTTTTTTTTTTTTGGGTCAGTGATGTCATTCTCACTGTCAGGATCAATAATCAATAACTCTGAGCTCCATTAAAGCTCCGTCACACTGAATTTACACTGTGGCACAGCCATGGACCTGAAACACAGCCCAGAGCAGAGTGATGTGAATACACCAGGGACTCTAACTAAAGATGGACGACGTGCTTTCTCCAATAATGAAGCCAAAATATCTCCGACACGGTGGCAGCCATTTTGAGATTTTGATCTTATTTGGAGCCGGAGCCGGTTCAGTTTTAAGATCCTGCCGATACAAGCGCTCGACCAATCCCGAGTCAGTCTGGAAGAGAAACACGAACGCTTGAACATACATCAGAGTGATTCAAAACAGAAATGACAGAACCCGTCTTTGAGAAACATTTATATAATCTTACTTCTTAGTTTGGTCTGTGTCCCGCCTGCTACCAAGGGGGAGGTAGGGTTTACGACCAATACCCCAGTCCGCCACCAGGGGGCAATCAATAGCATTTGGCTTCAGTTTTGGCTCATGTCATCCATCTTTATTTACACAAACCTGACATTCTGTTTTTCATGTTTGTAAACTCCTGAATTAACAGACAGATGTTGACTTTACATTTTTAAGGTTCACTATTTTACACTGAGTTCTTCTGTCACGCGCACATTTCAGAGTGGGGGGGTTTGTAGGGGGGAGGGGGGTATGTGGGGTGTGTGTGTGTGAAAGGTAAGAGTATAAACAATCAGAGCGACGACCACGTGCTTCGGTCCAGGGAGAGAAAATCTGCAGAGGAAACAGGAGGAAGGAGATTTGTCTGTCGTTGTTTTGTACAGGTGGAAAAAAGATTTTCCGATCACGATGAACAGTTTTTTTATTTTTCATCTTTTCGTGCTGTTTTCCGTCACTCAGCTGCAGATCAATAAGTTAGTGCTGTATTATTAACGTCGACCCTCCCTCCTGCAAGCAACGGACCAAACGTCCACAACTGTGGCCAACGTCATTTCTGTAGAGATACCCGCCCTGCGGAGAGGCGGGTGGGTTGTTGCCATGGAGACGGGATAGTGGAGGGGGGTTCATGTGTATGTTTTAGCGGTAGTCCCTTTTCTAACACTCCAGCCATCGCACAGAGCGGATGGGGAAACTAACCTCAATAGGACTGTAGAAAGTTCATTTATTTATTTTTTAGGAAACCTTGTTTATTGTTTAGCCCCTCTAACTTGTTTACAGGGCATTTTGTGGAAAGTGCTTCTCAAATAAATCTGGAGTTTTTTTGTCTCATTTGTTCTCCTTCATTTCTTATTTTAGTTTTTATTTTATTTAAAATGCAGCAAAAATATTGAATTGTTATAGTTTTTTTTTTTTTTAATTTAATGTTTATTTAACCAGGAAAAGTCCTGTTGAGATTAAAAATCTCTTTTCCAAATATAATCACGATGAGTCAATAACATAACAAAAATACATGACAGGCTTCTAGCGTGACTGAAAACATAACATGTAACATGTAACATGTAACATACAGTATAACAACAAGAGTTGACGGACATGTTAACAACTTAGTGACGCGTCTTAGGTCTAATTTTTACCATTTTCATCCATAGTGTCAGTAAAAATAAGACAACATATTAATATGTTTTTATTTATGCTATGTTGAGTTTATTTTTAAGCATTCCATTTTTTTT